TGTCAACTGCTACAGCATTTTTCATTACATGGATACATCATATTTTACTCAACCATTCATAAGCACATAGACATTCAGGTTGTTTCTACCTCTTGACTATAATAAGAAATGGATCTACAAATATTCATAGACATGTTTTGGCACAGACGTGTTTTACACACACACACACACACACACACACACACACACACATGCACGCATGCAAGCACGCATATATGGCTAGGAGTACAATCTCTGGGTCAGGCAGCAGAGTTACGTTTAACTTTTTGAAGAACTGCCAGGCTCTTTTTCCAAAGTATCTATACCAGTTGAAATTTCCACCCTCCATGTTTAAGCGTCCCAGCGTTCCCACATCTTCGCGAAAACTTGCTCCAGTAGGACTTGTTACAGGCAGCCATCCCGGTGAGTGTGAAGTGCTATCGTACTGCTGTTCTGATTCACATCTCCCCAAGGCTAATGACATTAAATAGCTTTTCATGGGTTCGTGCACCAACCTGCATACCTTCCTTCTCTGGAGAAATACCTAATTCTTACCTTCCGCTCACTTAAATCCATGTATTTTTATTATTGTTACAAAATTCTTTATATATTCTAAAAATGAGTCCCTTATCAGACATATGGTTTCCAAATGTTTTCTCCCATTCTGTAGGCTGGCTTGGTTATTGTGTTTTTGCTCTTCTTGCTCTTTTAATCGTGTTCTTAGACCATGTTTTTACCCTTTTAGTGAAGTGAGAGAGAACAGAATGAAGGGCACACCCACCCAACAACGAAGACAATGACGACTTGGGATCCCAGCCCTAACCCAGATTGTTGTCCCCTTTGTTCTGAGGAATAAATTGCCTAGGAATTATTTTGGCCCATGCGTGCTGGAATCACGACAGCAATTTTCTAACCTAAGGATTCAAAACCCCCCTTGCAAAGAGGTGTAACCATGCGTGACACTGTTCAAGTAACAGTGTATATGGGCAAAAGTCATGTGTGCAACGTCTGGGAAGTATTCCTACAAGAAAAGTCAGGGTTCTATGATAAACAGGACCGGGCATCTGACACCTGAAATACCTGGGAAAATGGAACCACTCCCAAGAGAAATCAAAATCTGACCCCAAAAAAGCTTATGTGAGTGGGCAGGAGGTTTGGCTCAGTGGTTCTGCTGCCTGCCTTACAAGTGCAAGGTCCCGAGTTCAATCCCCGGTACCCCCCCAAAAAAGGTTATGTGAAAACTTACCTGTCTGGCCCGGGCTTCCCACATGAGTGAAAAAATAAACTTTGACACTGTTTAACATACTTTGACTTTTTCTGTCACACACAACCAAACCTGATCTGAACTAGTGCCACAGTTTAGTGAAATACGCACAGATCAAATACAAGCCCAGGAGCCCCTCTGTCCCATATTAAATATCATCTACTATCACAGAGCTACCTGGCTGCTATCCTAACACAAATTTTTAAAAAAGCAAAAACGGATACTTGGCAGGAAGGCAACATTTCCTTATATTAAACCTAGGCCATCAACTGTGAAATTGCTACACAAAAGTTCCCAACAGCAACACTGTATAAACTCCCATAGAAACCCATTTACAGAACCCACCCACTCAAAAGCGGGTTAAATGTATTTCTCTTTAAGTGGAAAGAAAGCACCAGAGCTCATGCTACAGCAAGGCAGAGAAAAAGAAAAGCACGGGTGACTGATACTTGCCTGACTGAATCTAATCCCAGTTCTGTCACTTGTGAGCAGCAATTCAATTTCATTTAGTCCAGGACTAATGTGGTGAAGGGTCCACCACAGATGAAGCATCACATTTGGTACAGCAGAACCAAGCAGTGCTAAGTCAGGCAGTATCCCTCCCTTCTTGGAATTCATAAACTAACAGACAAAGAACAAATGACTTATACTTCCTAGTGGTCTACTTGGCCAACAACAAGGGAAACAGGCAAGAAAAGAGCAGATCTCAAACTCCCCAGTAATCGAGGCCTTCAAAGCTCCAGAATTACAGCTTAATGCACACACACCCGCCTACCCCTACCCTGCTACGCACCAGGTGGGCAAAATACCCACAGTGGAGCAGGTAGCCCCTGCCCACCAAGGGTCCCAAATACTCCCGACTGCTAACAGCACACAGTAGATGTTTTGCTGCTTGGAAATTAGGGAATAAACCAAAAGTAATAAAAATAAGCCTCAGTAAATTTTACAAAGTTGCTTGATTGTTAAGACTAAAGAAGTCACAAAATATATTTTGAATAATGTATTATGAATAATTTAAGCTAACCCAAGAGCTTCAGAAAAAGGTGAAACTAACACTAAGCACATATTGCTTTAAAAATACATTTATGTTTTTAAAAAATATTAAATCTATACACCCATATATGATGTTGGATCTCAAAGTCTACACCCCTCTAGAAATATTAATGGTAGAACAGTTACACAGCACTCATGAGGCCCTGAGTAAACCCCCGGCACCACCAAAAAAAAATTCTTTTCTTGAAAATTTCACAAAAACGAATCAATACACCCCCCATTTTGGCACTGTTTGTGATGCTTATTAGACATCCCGGTAGGTGGCTAGATATAAAGAATCTGGAATTCAGGCAAGAGATAATAAATTTCCGAGTTATCAATATATAGATGGCCCTTAAAATTATGAAGCTGAACAAGAACCTAAGAGAACATGGGTAAAGAAAAAGGAGATCTAAGGACTGAGCCCAGAACTCCAAAATCAAGAAGTCTGAGAAAGGAGGAACTGGTGAAGGAATGTGAAAAACTGAAAAGGCTAGTTAGAAAAGAAAGCAGTACACATCCTTGTATCACAGGGGAGAAAGTCACGGGCTACGGGAGATAGTGCTGCAGGAAAGAACAGCAGAGTTAAGCACCAGACATGGGACACAGCCCACTGAAAACCTCCACAGAGAAACCACGGGGAAGGAGTAGAGACACAGGATTCATAAAGGCAGCTTAGAAGAGAATAAAAGAGAAGAAATTTAAGATAGTATTTGTAATAGCATTTTGAAGAATTTTTGTGAATGGGAGGGAAGAGATAGGTAACAGGTGAAAGGAAAGGTTTATTTCATTGATGATGGTGGTAGTAGTATTTTTTTAATATTTTTAAGAGATGGATTAAATAAGAGCATTTGCAGGCTGACTAAAGGCAAAACCCATATAATAAGAACAAAAAAAAAAGTATCATGGCACAGTGGCAGGAAGACAGGAAGAAGAAATAGAAAACAGTGAACAAAACTGGCTCTCACGATGGGTGATGGAAGGCAGGGAACCTGACCCTAAAGGAGCGTGGGGCTACACCGCAACATTAAAAACAAAAAAAAGTAAAAGGACACAAAGTCATCATCGGGAAAGGTGGTCAGGGCTAGGCCCCTAAACAGAAAGGAAAATGTAAGATATCCATCAACTAGGAGAGAGAAGGAACTAAGAACACACACTGGTTAGAATTAATGGCGTAAGGGTCGGGGATGTAGCTCAGTGGTTCTGCCACCTGTCTCCCAAGCACAAGGACCCGAGTTCAATCCCCAGTACCAAAAAAAAAGAATTAATGGCCTAGTGAGTACCACACGGCGCATCTCTGGAGACCAGCTATGAATTGACATGGTGGGTGGGTGGATGGGGAGATGGAAGGAAGGAACCTACCTACCTTGGGTCAGAGCACTGTTAAGGAAAAAAGGAAGCATAGAAGGATAGAAGGTGTTATTAGAGAGGTGGGCTTCCAGTCAAGACGACTACCCAGGGATGGCATTTTCATGCAGTAACAGCGTCTAGGAAATGATTTGGGAGGGAAGAACCGAACAGCAAGATCACCGAAGGACAGAGATTCAAGGAATCGAGGAGCAAGATGCTGAAAGAATCATCCATAGCAATACGGAAACTACTAAGGATTATAAAAAGAGTAGATTACAGATGACTCAACACAGAGATAGAGATTTAAAAGCAAGTCAAAATAGAGAACCATACAAGCTGGCACAAGCTAACCTGCAGGCCTGGGCTCGGGTTGTGGAATACAGACCGATGCTCCTCTTACAGTTTTGGAACAAGTTCCTATTGACGTCAATATGAACCTCTTAATACGGTCCTATGGGTACTCAACTGCTTTGAAACTCGGCACACTTTGACGTGAAATTTTTGTCCTGACATCCGGTAGTGCACATTCATCCTAGTTCTTAAAGGCACGTTTGCATGCACCAGGTAATCAATTCTTTCAGTTCCTTAGCACAGATGTTTCCTCCTCCGTCCAACTCAGCGATCGCATCTAAAAGCAGCTATAATTTATTTTTGTCTTCCTGGATTCTGACCTGAACCGATGTTTTGCTTCTTAAAAAAAAAAAATTCTCATTTTATAAGCTTTTATTATGAAAACATGAAAGAGCCTTATCTAAAAATCGCTGCTGTCAAAACTAGGGCTGGAAAGGAATCACTCTCCTGCCTAATGACAAAAGAAATGTCCTATGAGTACCACAATTTCCTCAGTGCTACTGAAGAACACAGAAGTAATGCCAAACAGAGAGGGGACAGTAAAAGAAGAAGATTCTTTCACAAGTAAATCAAAGTCATGCAATGAGAAGAAATAACTAGTCCTTGAATAACCAGAGGGGGATCGTGTAAGACCCTCCAGCACACAGAGCACACACACTGAAAATGCACCACAGAACAAACATGGTTCTCTGTCACTGCTACTTCTGCTCCTCCTCAGCTCGTCCACCCACTGCCTTCTTGTCCATTCTCCTCCTCCTCCTGCCACAAATTAGACTCCGACCAATGCTGAAATGCTCTGAAGTTACTCTTTAAGTGACAAAAGGTTAGAATGACTTCACACTTAGGTCAAGATGACGCTGCCACTCTACCTCTCTGCACAAAAACTGCACAGTGCACTGCAAGGAATCCACGGCTGGCAGAGGGACGAGACACACCCTTCCGGACAGGGAAACCACAGTCAACTCTTTGTTTATCGCATCTTAAACTGATTCTTTCACCGCAACCAATAATTCTAACGACTTACCGGTCAGCGGCTTCTATGTCAAAACAAAACCTTCTGTCAATGGAGTCCGTGTGCCTTTTGGTACATTCTTTCAAAAAGAACACCTCTCCATCCCCCTGAAAATAAGAAAATAAGCTTAAAACCCTCAGAAATGCAGGATAAACATTTACACACTGAGCCACCTCTCCTGCGGGAGCCTCAAATCAAGATTTTAAGTCTCTTCTCTTTATCCTATTTTCTTTCAAACTAGCTTATTTAAACATTATTTACCCTTGACCTTAACCAAAAGGCTGAGAAGCGATTTTAAACATTACTTAGAATCTAAGTCTTAACCCATTTTTGGTCATTCTCCTGTTTTTAATGTTTTCTAGCTTTCTGACTGTATTATTAGTATCAACCCAGACTTCACCAATGTAAATTTTAAAAGATGAATCAGCAGGGCAGTTTCAAAATGCTACAGTATGTTACTCTCTTACTGTATATTTCTTGTAAAAAGTGAAAATTAGTTTTTTAGGGTTTTTTTCTCCCCTTGAGTTTCTTGATACATTTTAGGTATACAGTACAGTTACATTCATCATTGGGATCTGGTACCTTTACATGACAGATCTTGGTTCTCATTTTTTCCCCTTATCCCTGCCCTCCCTTCACCCCCTCCTCCCTTCCCTATTTACATATACTTTGTTTCCATTTTTTTCATTTTCTCATTTTTTTTCCTTTTCCCTTATTACCTTTCCCCTACCCTTCCCACTTCCCCTACATCTTTAGCCCTTTTCTTCCTATTTCATATTGTCAATTAAATCATTAGAATCTTACGTACCACTATAGTTTTTCTCACTAGAGAAGCTTTTCAGTATCTATACATGTGCTTATTTATTTCATTTAGGAGTGTATCCTCAATATGTATCCATTTTCCTATGAATGACTCTAATTTCTCATTCTTTACGGCTGAGCAGTTTTCCATTTTGTAGAAAAACCACATCTTCTCTATCCAGTCTCCAACTGATGGGGTAAACGGGCTGTTTCCAAGTTTTACCTATTACAAACTGTGCCGCTATAAACATAGGTGCGCATATATCACTGTGATATTATTCTTTTAATTATTTTGAAAAGTACCCAGCAGAGGGATGGCTGGGTCAAATGGAACCTCTAGTCCCAGCTCTTTGGGGTATCTCCGTATTGATTTCCATAGTGGTTGCACCAGTCTGCACTCCCACCAACAGTGGAGAAGGGTTCCTTTGTCCCCACAATCCCACCAACATTTGTTATTGTTTGATTTCTTGATAGCAGCCATTCTTTGTGGGGTGAGGTAGAATCTCAGTGTTGTTTTCATATGCATCTCTCGAATGACCAGTGATGTGGAACATTGTTTCATATATTTACTTGAAGCTTTTACTTCTTTGTCTGAGAAATGTCTGTTCATTTCAGAGGCCCATTTTTGAATCGGGTCTTTACATTTGGGGGAGCTGATTGTTTTGAATTCTTCATATATACTAGATAATAGTCCTTTGTCTGAGGAGCAGCTGGTAAAAATTTTTTCCCACATTGTGGGCTGTCTCTTAGTTCTGTTGATGGTTTATTTTGCAGTGCAGAAGCTTTTTAGTAGGATGAGATCCCAGTTGTTGATTCTTTCTGCTAGTTCCCATGCTACTTAGGATTTGTTCATAAAGTCTTTTCCTATGCCAGTTTCTTCAAGAATTTTGCCTAACTTATCTTCCAGCAAATTTAGCGTTTCTTTTTTAATATTTAGATCTTTAATCCACTTGGATTTTACTTTAGTGCATGGTGAAAGATAAGGGTTTAGTTTTAATCTTTGGCAGGTTGAAATCCACTTTTTCCAACACCATTTATTAAAGAGGCTATCTTGCCTTCACTGAGGATGGTTGGCTCCTTTGTCAAAGATGAGGTAGCTGAGTACATGTGAAATTGTTTTTGTATCTTCCAATCTATTCCACTGATCCTCAGGTCTGTTTCTTTGCCAGTACCATGCTGTTTTTAATCACAGTGGCTTTGTAGTATAGTTTCAAATTGGGAATTGTTATACCTGCTGCCATGTCTCTGTTGCCTAGGATGGCTTTTGCTATTCTAGGTCTCTTCGGATTCCAAATGAATTTTTGGATTCTTTTTTCTAGTTCTGTGAAATATACTGTTGGAATTTCAATCGGAATTGCCTTGAATTTGTATAGCAGTTTGGGTAGTATGGCCATTTTCACCATGTTGATTCTTCCTACCCAGGAGCAAGGGATATCTTTCCATTTCCTTATATCCTAGAGAGTGAAAATTAGTTTTTACTTTATATTACATCACACCGTATGCCACGGTTGACATTTGGCCATTTTGGACCTATGAAAACTGCAATTCAAGCCAGGAATGGTAGAAGGTACCTACAGCCCTAGTTACGAGGGAGGCTGAGCTTTGCCTGAGCCAGGACTTTGAGACCAACCTAGCCAACGTAGCAGAACATTTCTCCATAAGAAAAAAAAAAAAAAAAAAA